CAACTCAAATTTGAAGAACTCAGATGAGTGAAACAAGCTCTATAGAAACTAAACGAAATAGAATACAATAGTGTACTGTGAAACTAATCAAATAAGTTCGTCAAGTCACGTTTTCTGTTGTAAAAATCAAGAAATTTGTTGGTGGAAATCTTTCGCATTTCCGGTGTCTGGCGTGTTGGGTGGTGGAATTTAATCACAAGTGTCCGTTTAATACAGGTTGGTAACAATAGAAATGACCATTTCAAGTACTTTTTAGGTGTCCGCGTCCGCTTAATAGATTGTCCGCTTAATAAAGGTTTCATTTAAAGTAAATAAGCGAAATAAATTTGGGGACCTCGGCTACTGTCCGCTTAATAGAGGGTGTCCGCTTAATACGGTGTCCGCTTAATACAGGTTTCACTGTATAATAAAATAAAATAGCACTGTAAAAATAAAAATAAAAATCCCTGCAGAGACTTATTTTGGTGAAAAAAAAATTCCTGCAAATAGTAATGCTGGAAAAAAAAAAATACTCAGAAGAAATTGCCCACCCACCCCTTACCCTTTCCCACCCCCACAAAAATTGAATGGTCCGTCCCTAAATGAATTCAGAAACAAATCGTCGAATACGATATAAAAAGTGAATGTCCTGAAGAATACTCGACCGTCGATAAAGTAGGAAATGAGAAGCCTTTAGGAAGTAAATCCTGTTTCGTCAGTAGAGTAAATCACCTCCTCATTTCTTTTCTAATCTCTAAGCAAGCGAGACTTAACAGCGATATTAAGAGCGTCGTTGTTTGTATTAATTTCTTCGGCTCTAAAGATCGTTGGATGTTTACAAAGGGCTGAAGCGAGGAGACATGGACATCTAGTCTATAGCAAGAAGGAACAACGCAGGCAATAGGTAATCGGTTAGTGAAAATTTATGGCAAGTGACCGTTGTTAGCACTTTAAGCCAGTGGCCGACAGTGGAGCTCCTTTTCTCATGATCCTTTGGTATGTAACTGCATGTTGTTGGATTACTGTTTACTTGACGCTTTAAAGAGAAGAAAGAAACGCTCTCTGTACAATTTACGGACTGCGTTCGGTGTGTAAACAGTTGAAGCACTCGGTAAAGGCAGCCTGATTTTCATCCGATTGCTTCGAGTCGTTTTCTCCTCTCAGCAACGTCTAAATCAACTGGTTGTTAATGCCGTCCAGTGACGCCATCATGATCACTACTCGAAAACCGGGTAGTGATTTTTATTGGTTGATTGTCTAAACATTCGCATAATTATGCATAATTAAGAGAAATTTTAGCGGGATTGTCGCTTGATATTCAGCGGATCACATCCCTGGTATATATGCTTGCGTGGAGTTCAAACATTTCAATAATCTTTATCGTAAACAGCAAATTTGCCCTCGTCTTCTAAACAGAAATGCTAAATTGAAGAGCGAATGAAGAATCATTGCGGAGGAGTCGGTACGTTTTTCATTTAGAGCTGCTTTGTGGTTTCGGCAGTGATTTTGTTTATACGAAGTTTCTGAGACCAATGTTGTAATACGACCTTCTAGCTATTTTCAAAGTCAAGTGTAATGATTCTGTGAAAGGTTTGAACCCAGGAGTCATTTCAAAAGTAGGTTGTTGAGTTTGATCGTCCTGGTGAACGTAGTCCTGAATAGGACTGTTGTTGACAGTGACTAGCGTTTCGATAACCTCTGCGGTAGTCATCTTCAGAGTCAAAGTGAGTTGTATCATGTCAGTTGATGGTATTATACTCTGGTTATTGATCTGATTGGTAAATTACGTCGGGATGTTATTGGTCGTCTGTCAGTTAAGCCGTGATGTTATTGGCTATGAAGACTCTTAATCAGTAATTGGTGCGCCTTTGATATGGAAATGATTTTTCATTCTCGTGCAAATAAAAGTCATTTTCACAAGAAAGGTTGTGCACTTGGCCTCATTTTGAAAGTGAGGGTTTTTGGAACTCGGAAGTGGCCTATTACAACCGGTTCAGAGTACTGCATGCAGTTGATAGTTTGAACCTTAAACATGAATTAAGATCGAAAAAAGTAAAGCCATTCTGTATCATGCAGACATTTCCAAAAGATATTTCTTGGTTTGCCACTTGAAAATCGTGTTTAACTTTTTGCATGAATTAAAGCAAAGGATTAGTGACGTCACTGGATGGCATTAACGGCTGGTCGATTCAGACGATATCGAGAGAGTAATAACGACTCGAAGTAATCGGATGAAATTCAGGCTATCGGTAAAGGTTGTTATTGACTTTTCACCGCAGCACTTAGTCGAGCGCTTATGTACAGCACGTTTACTATCAAAAAGCAAGAAGTATCGAGTCTGTATAACAAGTACTACTGATCAGGTTGTTTGTGCGCCTTTTGGGTGATGGTCTTGGACATAGCTGCAAAAGTATTCAAGGAGACTCTCATGGGAGAAAACAGCTGTGGCGAAAAGGCACGTTCTTCAAGCCCTCTTAGTTTGAAGTGTGACTATTGTAATAGGATGGGCCATTTTGTATATAACTTGCTCCCTTAGAAAGTCTGAGCAACACAAAACGTCCTCAAAACCTGACAAGTGAATTCAGTTAAACCTCTATGAAGCGGACCCCCAATGAAAGGGACACCCTCTATTAAGCGGACACTAAGCCGGGTCCCGAAATTAACATCTTATATTTTCCTTTATAACGAACCCCTATTCAGCTGACACCTCTATTAAGCGGACGCGGACACTAAAATAAGTTGTATTTGGCTAATTTCTATTGTTTAAAACCTCTATTAAGCGGACACCGGACTGAATTGACATTTCCTTGAAATACGTACTGTAGTCGATTAATACATGTAAAGATAAATCAGTACATTTAGCTGTCAAAAGACCGATATCATCCGCGATCAGAGTTAACCTAAAAGTCTTGCGCAAAGTACGGCACAGCTTCCTTAGTTCCCTTAACAACATGGAACTTTATCACAGTACAGAGTAACCGTTGAATGTTAATGTTTAACAAACATTGCGCTATTTTTACAAACCTCAATTAAGCGGACACCCTCTATTAAGCGAACACTTGAGAAGGTCCCCAATGTGTCCGCTTTGTAGAGGTTTCAATATATGTTATTTAACAAGTGAAAATTAATGGGTGTCAGGTATCACAAAAAATGAGAGGAGAGATGATATATGGAACACTAACGAACGAGCAATCGTATTTACTCAGCTCCATATACATGTATTGTGTACTGCATTTTGTCCCCTTAGTCAGCATAGTTATGGCAGCTTTGCATGAAAAGAATGTATCCTTAATTTAAGGGCCTTCCCGCCTCGAGGGTCTTAGTTGTTATCTGCTTTCTTTAACGGGGTGTCCAGTGCCCAGTGGTGTCCTTGCCTTCTTCTGAAAAACAAAATAAATAAAGAACCAAACGTGGTGTAGGAAAGAGGGACCTTGATTTACAATTTCAAGAATAGCGAAGTTAAGGGGGCATTACAGTTGTTTTTTTGGGTGAAATGATGTTGATTTGGGAGGAAAACAAATTAGGGTTGAAAAGGTATACACATAAACCAGTGCAGTTAGTCGGCTGATGGGATCAGAGGCACCTTGTTGTGGTGGTGGACTATCTGGTAATTATCTTCAAATTATTCTCTTCATATTTCATACATATATATATATATATATATATATTTCATACTTCATATATCGGGGTGCAATGGCTTGGAACCAACTGTCAAATGAAACACGTGAGATGGGGGATCTTACTAGCTTTAAACTCGCCATATCTTGGGATATAACTTTTATTATGTTTTTATCTTATTTCTAATTCTCATTTCTTGCTGTTATATTGTATTGTTAGTTAATCACTAGTCTTAATTTTTATAAATTGTAATTATCACACGGCATGTCTGAAAACAAGCTTGCTGAGCCATTTACCGTGTTTAAATAAAGTTGATTGATTGATTTGATTGATTAATTTTAATTTTAAACAACCCCCAAATCCAATAATTTATTCGCCGCTACACGGCGTAAGCCGGGAGAAATTTAAACACCTCGTCCCCACTCAATTTTTTGGACCACGGCTCCGCCGCCAAAACTTAAATGGTGCACCGAGACAATACCGCCAGCTACGCAGGCTACTCCCTCCCTAAATTTTATACATTAAAAACAACCGAAAATCATTGAAAAGTTGATAAATAATTATTGAATTAGGGACTGTATCTTAATTGAGTCATTTTTGGATTGAATGAAATCTTGGCTAGATATTTAACAGAAAGGGTCGAAATCAACGAAAAATAACGCTTTTATCCGTACTGCCCCCTTAAAGCCGTTGAAAACATGATAAGCTCGTCGATACCAGAACCTCGTTAGGGTCGGAGGAGAGATGACAGCCCGTGACCATGGCAGAATGACATTAAGGCGATAAAGGAAGGAGAGCTGACTGGCGATATTACAGGGTTGTTTCCGTGATTCAAGATGTTTACAATCTGGGGAGCTTCATAATGTTTCTTGGTGTTCGCAGGAATCCTCAAACGAACACCTGTCCGCTCAAGGCCATAAAGCATGTGACACGGCAAGAGATTTATTTGTTTATTGTTTTGTTTGCCATAAGTCGTACAAAGCAAAAAAGAAAAATCTAATTATTTAAACTCTCATGGCGAGGAAGCCCAAGAGAAGCCACCGGGCTTATAAGGAATGGGCTCCCTCAGTTAAATAATTAGAACAAAATATTATCATAATTACACATGGGAAAATCAATGGCAGAGCTACAATAAATCTTAAAATATATTGGGTAGTCGTATTTATCATAGTTCTAGGCTAATAAAAGCGAAATGACAAAACGGAAAAAGGGAAATGACAAAAGGAAAAAAAAAAGGCATTGTTCTAACGAAAGAGACTTCCTTTTCGTCCTGTAAACACTAACAGGGTCTGCTATAAAGCAATGGGTCTGCTATAAAGCGTGTTACTGAGCTTAGGTACCTGGGTGTCATCTTTGATGAACACCTCAGTTGGAACGAACATGTTAAAGCAATTGTGTCTAAAGCTGGCAGGCGGGTCGGTCTGTTAGGACGTGTTTGCCGTTATATCACAACACATAGTGCTAATGCCATTTTTTAATCTATGATTAGACCGCTTTTAGAGTACTTCGCTGGGGTCTGGGGGTGCTGTGGGGAAGTAAATAGTGGAATTCTAGAAACTCTGCAGAAGCGCGTTGGAAGAATTGTAATTAAAACACCTAGTGGTGACACTGGGATGAAGGTTTTGAAATGGCTAAGTCTTAGGTCCAGACGCGATGAGCACATCCTAAAACTTGTAAGGAAATGTATACATGGCCTGTGCCCTCAGTATATTAAGAACTACTTTTTAACAAGAACATTTGTGCTCGTTTAAGCCGCCAGAGTAGTCTCTTGCATCTGCCTGCCAGAAGAACAGAAGTGGCCAAGAGATCCTTTTATTACAATGGAAGTATGGTAACATCCGAAAATCGTTGAAAAGTTGCTAAATAATTATTGAATTAAGGACTGTAACTTAATTGAGTTATTTTTGGATTGAATGGAATCTTGGCCAGATATGTAAGAAAAAGGGTCGAAATCAACGAAAAATGACGCTTTTAACCGTTCTGCTCCCTTAAAGACGTTGAAAACATGATAAGCTCGTCGATACCAGAACCTCGTTAAGGTCGGAGGAGAGATGACAGCCCGTGACCATGGCAGAATGGAAGGAAAGTTGACTGGCGATATTACAGGGTAGTTTCCGTGACTCAAGATGTTTACAATCCGGGGAGCTTCATAATGTTTCTTAATGTTCGCAGGAATCCTCAAACGAACATCTGTCCGCTCAAGGCCATGAAGCATGTTGACACGGCAAGAGATTTAGGCATTGTTCTAACGAAAGAGAATTCCTTTTAGTCCTGTAAACGCTAATAGGGTCTGCTATAAAGTGTGTTACTGAGTTTTAGTACCTGGGTGTCATCTTTGATGAACACCTCAGATGGAACAAACATATTTAAGCAATTGTGTTTAAAGCTGGCAGGCGGGTCGGTCTGTTAGGACGTGTTTGCCGTTATATCACCACACAGTGCTAATGCCTTTTTTATCTACGGTTAGACCGACTTTAGAGTACTGTGCTGGGGTCTGGGGGTGCTGTGGGGAAGTAAATAGTGGAACTCTAGAAACTCTACAGAAGTGCGTTGGAAGAATTGTAATTAAAACACCTAGTAGTGACACCGCGACGAAAGCTTTGAAATGGTCAAGTCTTAGGTCCAGACGCGATGAACACATCCTAAAACTTGTAAGGAAATGTATACATGACCGATGCCCTCAGTATTTTAAGAACTACTTTGTTTTTAACAAGGACATTTGTGCTCGTTCAACGCGCCAGAGCAATCTCTTGCATGTGCCTGCCAGAAGAACAGAAGTGGCCAAGAGATCCTTTTATTAGCATGGAAGTATGGTTGTCAATAGTCATGATTGTAAATGTCCTTAATCTTAGAAGATCTTGTTATTAGTTCATTTGTTATATTACCTTGTACATATTTCATTATTATTATTATTATTATTATTATTATTATAGCCGTCATTAGTATAATTCGATTGTATGATCTTGATACCTCTGCATAATGGAATTCTTTATTTTATAGAATTTTGAACTTTTATTATTAATTATATCCATTTCCTCTTCTTTTATGTAAGGTTAAGTTACTTCTATTTTTTAGAGTTTTATTATTATTATTATTATTATTATTATTATTATTATTATTATCATTTATAGTCTAGTTAGTGACGCCAGGGCTCCTATTGATAGCAGGTATGCTTTGTAAGCTCCCTGAATGGACTACTCTGGGTAATTACTTTTCATTTTAAACAAAGGCGTCTGATACCGGTGTCCAACGGATGACATCAGCTCGGGTAAATGACAGGCGGTGATGATGGTGAGACGTTTACATGGCTTTTGTTCTGGTTGAGCAATAACACTAGCCTTCACAGGGGTAGCAGGCCTATCTAAGGTATGGAGCATGTAAGTTGGACGACGAGTTATACCACCTTGTCATCTGTTGTATCAGTTGGTTAAGGTGTTAAACCCTGGCGGTTCCACACCTTGTGTGAGAATTAATAGTCGTGGTATCCTGACAGGATGTAGATCACTACGCCGTTCCAACCAGTGGGCAGGACTTTTATCAATGGCTGATATTCTCATTGAGAAAACCTTAGATTGCTGGCTCACGTGCATAGGATGGATAATAACAGACTACCGAAGAAACTGTTGTACTTTCAACTATGTTTGGCAATGCGTAATCAGTAGAGGCCTGTTTGGTAATACGTAATCAATAGAGGGCTAGTTTAAGGTTCAAATATGTTGCTAAGAGAAATATGAATTGGAGAGACATCGATCTCAACCGATGGCAGGAGAGGGCCGACGACAGACCTACCTGGAGGAGACTTATAAAACTGTACTGAGCCCTAGAACAGTCTTAGTCGAAACGACTGACTGTGATGATTATGGATGGAATGTTCGTTTAAATAAAAACTGTTGTGTGTTAAGGAAAGAGTTAATATTCGTTATTGCTAAAGCATTTATTAGCAGCTCTTACAGGACAGCACCTGAGGTAGTCAAGGAGATTCAAGGTATTAAGGAATGTAGCGCGTGAGTGTACTTTATGGGTGAGCAAAAACTGGTCTAAACATAGCTTAATAAGTTATGAGAGGGTTTTTGTTTTGAGAATTGAGGATTGGGAAAGGTTTATTGGAGTGATAATAGTAGTTTAGATTGCATTAGTAGACAAATAATGGAGCAGTAAAGGCTGTGGGGCGCTGATCAATCATTTTACCATACCTATATACAACTGAGCATGAATATGAATGTTGATATACACCTAATTAACAGGTTTAACGTGGGTTGTCAATCGGTTTCACGTGCGATTGCGTTAACTTCTTACTCAGTTTTCAGCGGGGCCACGCAGAGGTGAACGGTCCCTCTTCCCGCCCAGAAAATCGCGTGGGTCGTATTACAAACTACCCCTAAGCAAAGCTGTCAAACGTCTACCTGAGAACAGCCTGGCTTGCAATGTGACTCGTCGGACACCTGACACAAAAATCTGTCGCGGTAGAAGGTCCAACAGAGTTTCCAAACTGCTCCGCCTTAACGTTAAGAATACGTCTTAACGTTAAGAATACGTATTTCTCTGAGTCACTCATCTCTTTATGGTAAAACTACTGTTTGACTACTCCATATGAATTGACCAATTTTCATATTTTAGAATTCAACCTCAAACAATTCAAGGCTTTTAGGAATGAGCATCTCTAGAGAAATAAATTAAAGATTTTTCAAAAGCAATTGCTTTTGGAAAGCTCACACGTGAAAAATAAGCATGTTATTTACCTATCCCTCTGGGGTATGTGACATGTTCACCTGGTGTCGTACCAGGTGAATATATCACATACCCCATTGTTCCAGTTAGTGCAGCGAGGTGTTTTTAAGAAGGAAAATTGGTCATAGAATCGAATCGCGGCAAACGAAAGTAAATATAGCAGCAAAAAAGAATATGATTGCGAAAAAATGGCAAGAGGATGAGGAATAAATCTTTAAAAGGAATATCGATGACGTATTTAGGAATTGTTGGATGAGGCTTAGCATGATCTGTTGAATTATGCAGATCGAGGAGGGTGTGGCTAGCGTATTTATTATTCACTTAAAGTAACTCTTAGTTTAAAACGTGCTTACTTCTTCTGGTGTCTTGAGTTCATTACAGTTTTTATGTTCTTTTGTAAATTTGGGGTACAAAGGATGTTAAGTCTGGCAGATATTCTTTGCCAGCTGGACGCGAACAGCTGAGCTAACGCAGCCGGACGTTCTCGATTATAGCTTCTCGGTTTCCATCAACTTTTTAGCGATTACCCGGATAATTGATGTCATTTTACTGGATATTCGCAAACGCCTTCCAGATTTGGTCAACTCTAGATGGTTATGAAAAATTAGCCAATGAATTTAAGGCAATCGGTAACGGACTCAAACATGTACCAGCAACCTTTCTTGGAATATGCACGTGTCTGATCGGTGAGATGGTAAAGAAAGCATCTAAACGCCTGTATTTTCTTAAAGGCAATAAAAGCGCCATTATGTCGAGAAGGCCGAACTGCTTAGGTTTTACACAAGCTGTATAAGGTCTGTTTGCAATTAAGCGATTCCTGTGTTTTACGCTTCGTTGCCTCCGTACCTAATCGACGATTTGGCTCTCTCCATCATATGCCCCACGTAGCCTTAACCTACGACAACGCTCTAGCTTCGTTAGACCTAGAATTATCACTAGTGGTTCATCATCAGCGCCTGTGTCAGTCCCTTTTCAATGAATATCTTAGAAGACAGAGATCACCGTCTCAGTCACTTACTGCATACTCGACTCGCATACCCGTCTCGTATAGTCACACCCTCAGGCATGCCAGGAATTATCTTATTAATTCCCAATGTCTCCGGGTAAACTTATTAGAATAGCTATCAGCTTTTTTAACTAAAACTTTGTTCCTAGTTTATGCATATGTATTCTTTAGAGTAATAACTTCTCTAAAATCGATTGTAATTTATGCGTTTTCTATAATTTAGCAGTTTTTATGTTTTTTATGTTTATTTGTAATTTAACCTCTGTCTGCGAGGACTATGCCGATAAAGTATCCCTCTATCTCCATCTGTGTAGTGGATAAATATTCAAGCTTTATTCTTCCTAACGAACTTTAATAGCACTGTAAAAGGCCAAGGGACTTTCAGCCAACCCTCTTGTATAGTAGAACGGGTTTGAATTTCCATGTACGTCGAAGAACAGGAAAGCCAAACTTTATACATACTTTGTTTTGCTTTGAAGGGAAATTCACTAAAATATAAAAATAAACTTTGATCATTCCAAGTAGTGGGTTTGCTTCAGTGTCCATTTCCTGTGTGAGTTGGGTTGGTTGTTGTGTATATACGTGTATCTAGAATCTAGTTAGGAAACGACAGGGTTTTGAAATGTATCGCTTACTTTTCAGTTTCATGTGGGTCAGTAGTGAACAGTACCCTGAAAAGTCCTACATACTCAGATGGCTTCTATGCTGGCAGCATGAACTGCGTCTACAATCTTTCGACTCCAGATGGTAAGGAGATGAGACTGAAGTTTCAAAGTTTTGACCTGGCGTCAGATTCAGAATGCAGGTAGGAATAAATAAGTTTAGCTTTTCTCATCTGAAGTTTAATTTTGAGTTTGCTGGTTAAAAAATTAAAAGCATAGAAAGACGTTTTCCAACAGCTTCTTGTAAATTCAGTCGTACCCACTCTCATATTCATCTTTACGTTTAGGTCAACTGCTGACCCTTGAGCCCTGATTGGTGCAGGTGGAAATTTTAACAATCACGAGAATTAGTCTGATAAACTGTTATTTTGGCATCTAGCGAGGAGAATGTGTTGGGGGGATATTTGTTACTGTACAGCAACTTGTATTGAAAGAGATTTTCTTGTAGGATCGATTATTTGAAAATAACGAATGGTATCACCGAAGTTCGATACTGCGGTGACCAGCTCAGTGGAAGAGACCTTCTTGTATCAGGAAACTACGTTGCATTAACGTTCCACACGGACTGGCTGCTCAAGAAGAAGACAGGATTTGAAATACTATTCTTCGCTCAAGAAATTTCTAGTAAGTAGGAAAAGGTAACAACTTTACAGTTAAGGCTATTTATACGGGGAGAAATAAGACGCGCCCAAAATAAGATGCGAACTTTGCAAGTGATACAACAATCATTATTCAATTCGCAAGCAAACGGAATTCTGGTACACAAGTAGTGAACTAAATGTGAGAGTGTTCGATTCGGCTTGCCGGCCGGGAATCTGT